CTGTTACCCCTCTCGACTATTTGTGCCTTTGTTTAGCCACCCCTCTGCGAATCCACGACGTCAACTAAAGGGCCAACGATTGCTAGCATAAAGCCTGCCATTTGAAAAAAAATATTGTGTCAATTTTAGCTGATTAAACAAACAGGTTAGGCACACTTAGCGATAGAACAAAGTCTATTTCACACTCGTTTCTGTGGCCTTAGGGGAGTTTATCATGCTCTTTGATTATGGAAAATAACCGCACAAATTTTACCTAAATCACAATTGGTGGAGCGGGGGGGGGGGGTTGAGATGAAAAGAAGGCCTTTCTTAGTGATTTCATCATTAAATTATTGAACTTTCTCCAAATGAGATGACTAAAATGTACCTACTACAAAAGTATATTTAGATAATATTAGTGTCCTCTGAAATAAAATCAAGAAACAAGTTTGGCCAAGATTGTAATACTGTTAATTGAAATTTAGACATATGATCTCAATTAGAAGAAGTGGGGAGCAATGAAATTTGGGAAAAAAAACGAATAGAAAGATGAAAAGTTTCATTGGTTCAATACAAGTAGACTTTCCGTGTCTGGAAGGACTAATTGAGCCCATCCACTTAATAGCTATAATTAAAAATGATAATGGAAGAACTCCATTGTAAGAAGTTTCTTCATGCGAGTTTGTAAATGTGAAGATAAGCGTATAACCGCCTAATATTTTCCCATCTTTGTGGGATTTTTTGCCATCAGGCAAATTTGAACTAGTTTATGGATGCAAAAATTATGGAGAATGCCAACGAGACCTCGATCTGCTCTTGGCAACTGACTCGGTGAAATTGTCATCCACTTTCCATCCAATGGTAAGTTCTCTAAAGAAGAGTACTTCAATATCTCCAGTTTGAAAGGCTCTCACCAACGAAGGCACCTATCACAGCTCGACTTGAGTTGGAAAAATCTATTTCTTCATCTCAAAATTTTCCAAAATTTAACTTACGCTTTTACTGAATTAATCACAAGTCTAAAATTCATCTTGGATCATATTGGGGGGAATAAATGAGTAGTGCTATAAATTCAGTTTAGGACAACAAGGTCTTAAAGTCAGGTAAGACATTAAAACATGTATGCCATAGGAATAATACCAACAAAAACATTCCGAAAATTTAATGACAAAAGTTGACCTTGCAGCTCTTTCCGGAATTAAAGGCATTTCATTTAAACACAAATATTCAATTTCTTAACGACTGAACGTCTGTGGTTATCAAGCTTGAATTGTATTAGTCAAACTCATTAATTAAGTAATAGTCAGCTCAGTGATCACATACATTACCATTTTTATAAAATTAAGATCAAGTTATTTATAATATTAAAAATAGTCTTAAAATGTTTAAACACTCGAATCATATGTTTTATTATAAGCAAAGTAAGTCCATTTCTTTATTTATCAATAGGTGTTAAAAAGGTAAACCTAAAAATTCGCCCCATCTCGTTGCACTTTGTTAGTCGCTACAAATTACTTGTTAATTAAATAGACGATCAATCTGAGACGCTCTAATATCAACTCACTCTTCTGAATTTCTGCTTTCAATTGACCTATATAAGGCTAATGATGAGAGGGATGCAAACGAACGGATTTTGGAAGGTACAATGTGAGTAAAACTAACTTACAAAGACGAGTTTGGGTTGGCTGGACTATGAGCACGAGTATCTTCAACATTTGGCGGTCTTGTGGATCGTGTTGGAGGTTGTAGTACTTGATTACCAGCCGAGGGTTGAGGTCGACTAGATGATCGATTCACAAAGCTCGGTCTAGCTGCCACACGCCGCGTAGACACGCGCCTAAAGCTGGAGTTAGATCGAGTAACTCCAGCATCGCTATTCAAGCGATTGAGCGCCTTGGCACTAGCGTCAGAACGCAGAGATTGACCTGTGGATGTGTTTCGACGACGGAAGGAACTACTTCCAAAATTATTCTCCTGTGCTAGTTGATGCTCCGTGCGGAAACTAGCGTAGAAACGTGATTTGAGGCGGAAAAATTGTTGCAACTTGGTGGGAGGCTTGGGAATTCCTTTGAGACGGAAGAAAGCGTGATGTTCGACAGCGCTCTTCCAGAGGTGTTTGCAAGCTCGAACATCAGGCAGAACAAAAACGAATGTGTGTTCCATCACTTTGCGCTGAAAGGAGAATGAAACTGGTGTATAGTAACTATTATATCTTATTTGAAAATATTAAGATTTGAAAGTTAATACGTTTCTTGCACTAGAACTTCGATGCTACAGCGAAACCTAATGCACACATTTGATTATTTAAGTTCTACTAGAATGTTAGCAGTAATGATATCAATCGACATCTTAACGTCAAGTATCCATTGCCTTATCGTGAATTAAAGTTAAAATGCTTGTTTTAAAATCGTCATCTGTTTTCAGTGTGCGAGGCTAATGATAAGTATCATAAAGCCTCCCATTTAATAAAAGGATAGTCTGTTTTCTGTGTCAATATGTCTTTTATGTATGAATATATCTCTCAATTAGCTTAATGATTTTGTAAATAATAATTGCATTTTTCATCTGAAAACGCAATATTTAAATATCTGTGAAATATTTTTTTCCCATTTTCAGGCAGTCTGGACCACTATGTGATATTCTTTTCAACAAACTAACATTTTTTCAGGAAATCTACAACAAAATAATTCAGGATATTAAGCTGATTTTCTTTGGAAAAAAAAACACAAATACATTCAATAATTAATTATTTGAAATAATCCAAGAAACACATTTGCGCAGAGGAAGTACTTGCGATGCTCCTCTCTAATTAATAGAAATTGGAGACTCGATGCGTGAGTGTCGATAGCCATCCCTCCGGCCCGAGAAATGTCGAAATTGACTCTTGTAGTGAACGGACATTTCTTTCAATAATCAATGTAATGGAACAAAAAATACAGTCTTTGCATCGTCTTGACCTCACAGTTTTCACACTTAAGCCGGGACAAACGACCTTGAGCAGTACGAGCAAGGACGTATGTAAGTATGATGTGAGAATATTTGAGAAGTGTGCTCACCAATAGAGCTATGCCAAAATCATAGGCTTTGTGTGAATTAACACATCGGAGTCGCCTTCAAATATTTCATATAAAAATCAAAGCATCTATTTCTTCACGCACGACTGAACGTAGTTATGGCAAAGTGGTTGACCTTCGTGATCATTCTGATCATAAAATTATGTCAGCAACTTGAATATACACAGGGTCTCATGGCTAAAAATGTTGCTGGGAATCCGATTTTCTAGAGTTAAGCCCTCGACTATTTTTCCTAATTTTTTAACCAATCAAAAGTAAAAACTCTTTGATGTGATATGCCACCACACATTATCTTCCATTTTCAAAGAGCCTACATTTCAGAAAAACGATCATGCTAATCATTCTAGATAGTTATGGATGTTTAACCTCAAGCTTGTAAAGTGAACTTGGTGTACATAAATAGCCAAGAGGACATTCGAATTTAAGAGAAATTCAATCTTCCAAAAAAGCAAAATCAGAAAACTTCTTCAAATGCGTTAAACATCCGCTTTTTAAGCATGGCATATGGTCAGCTATGGCTTAATAAGGTCGTCAAAGAATATGTTCCCTATGGGATACTAAAATTACTGCTAACCAGAATCCCCTACCTCGAAAAAGAATAATTGATTGCTCAAGACAAGTGGCAAGCTTACTTGAAGGTTTGGGTACACCTATTGGTAGTACCCAAGAGACGATGAGGGGGGGAGGGGGTAAAATGTGCGCCGACAAGTCTGTTAGCAATAAAATAGGCTAATTTAGCACAATTCCATTACAGTTGCCATGGCTAATTAGGACAATAGTTAGATTCTACATTGAATACTAAGAAATGCTCACATTTTGAATACGAACACAAAAAAGTAATGGAAGAACTCGGGCGATTGTTATTGTCGATTTCAGAATGTGAAAGAAAGGGTTTGAAATTAGGCCATGTACTGATGAATCAGTCTAGTACTATAGTTTTGAACAAAAAATAAAGACACAACTGGAAATAATACTTAATTCACATACTTCGTTACAATTTTTTTCATTCATTAATTATCTATGGATATCTTAATAGAGTGGGGGTTTCATTAATAGAATAATTAGGAACAAAATCTAATTCGAGATTTAAACAAGCGCAGTTAAATCTATTGGAAAAAAGTGCTGTAGACGACTTTAATTGCTAAGGGGTGTGCGATAGACTTACCTCCACGTGGTGCGCCCTGGGCAACGTATTCTCATACGGCAAAAAGTCTATTAACTGGCAGTTGACTTCAAACTACCAAAGCCCTCCTGTATGACATATTCGACCACTTCCACAGTACTACATCATATTTTTTCTAAATTTTCAACCTTTGTCTTTGAAACACTCTTCTGTTCCCTTCCTCTCGACTTTTTTTCACTCTGATGTTCCTTCCCCTCTGTGAAGCCTGAAGTCAACTAAAGGGCTAATGATAACCATCAAAACGCCTGCCATTTGATATAAATAAAACTTTAATTGCTGATCTCGGCTAATAACAATGTAGTTTTAAAGAAAATCCAGCAATTCAAAAACTAAACCCCCAAGTTCACATTCGGCCTACCTCTCCAGTACCAAAACATTCCTTTGTACGACTAACTCAATTAATTAATGGTAAACCAAATGAAAAAGCATTATTCAAAGAAATGAATAGACCATGCTTGTAAAATGTACATTTCAAATGAAAAAAAAATAAAACGAACAATTACAAGCTTCCTCCACCTTCGTATCAACACTCACAAACCCTAACTTTATTACTACAAAATTGGCGTTTTTGTTTGATCAGAACCAATGCTCAAAGCTGTTGACCTTCGGCACACTACATTGTGGTTGTTTAAATAAAATCGAGGAGAACTACAATACATATACCAACCCACCCACCCACCCACCCACGCACACACGCACATAAGCTCTAACACGCATAAACATACCATGAGTTGCAGTAGGCTGAGTGGGTAGAGGTGGGGGGGGGGGGGGGGGGGGGGGGGGGGGGAGGGGGAAGGCGAGGAACTTGCTCCTCCGAAGGCCCTTATTAAAGCACGTGTGAATTCATTTAACCTCACTGGTAATGAGTACCTATGCAGATTGCATGAACAAGTGGGAAAAAACGCGGCAAAAGTTAGCCGAATGTGTAAGCATTAATTTTGTCAGCAAGGACGTTAAACAGTAACTATGGCGTAGTACTCCATTTAACACTTTTCAAGAGTGTTCATCGAGGTATATTGTACCGAAATGATCACAGATAAATTCTTAGCGCTTGGGTAATATCGGGACATTTGCCACTTCCCAAAAAATTGAATAATAAATATTAAATAATAAATAAGTAAAAGGAGAAACCCACTGCCTGCTCATTTTCTTCCGCAACCACGAGTTTCAATTTCTTGCCGTGCATATCAAGTTTCAGGATCATGGACCTAGGTAGCGGAAAAGTCAGTGATATTACTTAAAATATCAATAACTTAATAATATTTAATAATTTGAAAAAAAACTCATCTACATAGTACCCAATAAATAAAAATATCAATAAAAAATGACACAGGAAAAACTAATTTCATAATTAAAAATAGATCACACTACAACATTCTTGATCACATCAAAATATAATAAACTAATATAGTAATAACTAAATTTTTAACTATAATATTTAAAAACTAACCAGACAAAAAGTCCTATTTTTTCTTCATCTTCATATACAAGAATGCCTGTTGGTGTAAGTCCAAGAGTGTAATTTTCGTTATCTTTTCCCTTAATTGTAAAATATTTTGTTCTTTAAACCCGTTTAAAATAGTTGCTCATTAAAACTAACATGGTTATTACCTTAACTGTATGCATGTCAACACCGTAGTTTGGCAAGAAACGGACTCGATCCAGAAAAATTCGATCTGCTTCTTCGGGTGTCCACTCGCGAGATCTACATTATTATTTCGTGGAGTAAAGCAATAAAAGTATTAAATTACCTTAGTTTTTTATATTCCTGCAGAATAGCAAGCTCGAGAGTTTCTGTCTGACGGTCATGTGGATAAAATGGGATAGTCGACACAAAAGCAGGTGTATGTTGACGTTGATCATAAGCACCGAATTCGCCTAAGGATTGTAAATATCCCATATATTTTCAGTCTCCAAAAGTTGATTGTGGGGTGGATATTAATATTTACCTTGAAGTAGAAACGCAGCCAACTCGGCTAAAACCTGATCATCTGTACACTGTAGCGTTCCCTGTTCAAGCTGCTTTCTCAATTGTAAAACAAACAAATAGCGAGTGTATTCATCTCTAAGTTTTTGAGGTTCCGCCGAAAAGAATTTGACCCTCATTAAAAACCGATATGGTGGACCCACTACAGATTATATAAGCTTTAAAATAGTCTAGCTAACCTCGACATTGCTTACGAATTGGTTTCGTAGGATCAACCCAGGGCTACTTTAGTAAACTTTATGATGAATCACCTCTTACCTTCAATTTATCATCGATTCTGAGACCAAAGTACTCACGTTCATCATTAAGCCCAATAAATGCAAAGGCTAAATCGTACAGCTTACTACCTTCGGCATTTTTCTGAACTATTAAAGAAGTATGTATCTTACAGGTAGGAAGAATGTTGTGCACGATCCATCAATGTATTCAACTACGCATTCCAAATCATTTGACTTCTTTTTACTTCCATCAAATGAGACATGTGACATCTCTGCCACACCACTGTGCTCCGGCTTCCGCTGAGTTTTGCGCCACCTACGAGAGAAAAAACGAATAATCGCAGCCATCCTATCAAATCAGAAATATTTATAAGACGCGCGCTTTTGAATATTTATCAAACGGACTCGAACAAACGGCTCAAGGTAAGTGTTTACACTGTGTTTTAAGACAACAAAAGAAACTTCATTTAAATTAAGTCTTAAAGCATGTTAAAAGTATACATTTATTTTAATTCTTTAAAATATTGAACTCTAAAATAATGTAATTGCGTTCACTTTAACAAATACTGTTGCTTAATAAAAAGGGCAATCTTCTTCGCTTATCGAAGTGACTGATGTTATTATTGTGCTTAAACTTTACTGTTTTTCTTCCAATACCGAATATCCAACTCTATTTATTGAAAAGCTAATTTATAATTACTATATATACATAATACTTTCCACATACAAAATGAAACTAGAAGCCAAAAATTAAAATATTGAAGATCATTTGGCTATTTTAGGTCAGAATATTAATAATTATTTTCCTTAAATGAATTCTCTGATTGCATTTTTTAATTTAAATCATGATATAATAAAATCCAATACTTTGGTATTTTACCACTTAGATGTGGAGAAAAGATAAAATTAATATCAGAAAATATTTTCCTATTCGAAATCAGTATTCGTCGACGGAATGTAAACAACTTAATTTTTTCATTGTCACGATTATTTGTCTATCGTATAATATTTGGCATTAGGAGTGTTCAATAGACTTACCTCCGCGTAGTGCACACTGGGTAACGTATACTCATACGCAAAAAGTCAATTAACTGGCAGTTGACCTCTGACTTCGGAATATTTAGAGCTTAAACTGATAATGACGCCAATAGTGTATTTTAATTGATATCTTCAGACGGCCCTAGTAACATATTGGCCACTATTTGAAGTAAGCACACGAACAAATTTGGTGCAATAAGTGGCATAGACAACAAATTTCAATCAACCCTTGGCGAGTAGATATGATAAGGAGTCGAAAACATCTCGGATTCAGTAATCACCGACCATCTCTGTACTTATTTGTTCACATAAATGATTTTACTTTATTGCGAATAGAAATGCACTAACAAGTAGATGACGAAGGTACCAAATTTACTGTAACAAGTTATAATAAAAGGTCAGTGGCCGTAATGTGAAAAACAGTGAATTAAGATAGAAAAATACTTATGTCTGGTTATTTGAACTGTGCAATTTATGACTACACATGATTGCATATATATTTAAACATTGCTTACTACCAAGAAGCAAGTGAATCCCACCACTGAACGGCTAGAGAAACAAGGACTGCTTGTGCCAGATAGTACTTCCTGTCGTGGCAAGCGGCGCAATATGTCCCCAAAGAGATCCCGTGGTCCTTCAAAGCACCATAGAAAAAAACTACTACTAGCACAGCACATAGGAAAACAGCGCTAAAAAATGTTACCAGGCTACAACTGCCTCAGGATTGACAGTGCTAAACGAAAAATAAACGAACTCTAGGAGTGAGAGAAGACTAGTAATTTTTGCCAAACAAAATGAAAAAAGACTGCATTAAGCCACAAATTTTTGTGGAATAATTTTAAGAGTAAAGCACATGGATTTAAATGTATGTGCAGCTAGAGATAAAATGAAATATTTATCAAAAAGATTAGTTAAAATAACCATCTGACATTGCAGTTTTAGATATTTGCTAAAACGTACTAAAATTATGGATCAATGTTGGAGATAAAGGGAAGAAAAGACCAAATTTTCCTGAATTCAATGTGTTTTAGTTAGTTAAAGATTGGCGTATTTTGTATAGATATATTGTTCATATTCATTACAAATGTCCTATTCTCAATATTAAAAATCAGTTCGCTAGAAATGAGAAATTTTTTAAAAGGTTGAGCGCAAACTGTCCAAAATTTTCGAAAATCTGTATGTGCCGTTGCAGACAATCAAACTGATAGATCTCTCGATACAACTTAGCCCAATACCAAATATATTGTACTAATCGTACATTTAGAAGGTAGGTCTTAACAGCCGAGAAATTCGATTTTTTCGAGTTATTACCTTCGAGATTATATAAATATTTTTCAAGTGACAGGCTTTATGATACTTATCATTAGCCCTTAATCTTTGACTTCAGCTTCCCCCAAGAGTGGGGGGGTACATTTATAGCAGTTAATTAATAGCAATTCATTAGCAGTCTTCTTGCTTCCCAGTATCTCTGGCTTTCCGTCGTTGTCTTCAGGGTTGGACATCGAATCAGGTGGGTCTTCTCTATTTCCTCCTGTAGGCTACATAGGAAGCATGTGGGTTGAGTGTATACTCCCAATCTGTGAAGGTGTTTTGCCAGGCAATCGTGTTCGGTACATAGTCTAAACTCAGCAACGGATTCGATTCTTGGCCAGTCGGCTACGTCGGAGAGTGCCACTGTCCACTGTTTCTCCTTTATTCGAGCTTTAAGTTCGCTGCACCTTGAGGTCTGGAATTCTCTCCTGATAAAGGCCTTCATTGTGTGAAAGACATCGGTCCATGCATTGCAAAATCGTTGTCTCCTTCTTAGTAAGTGCGTGAGCAATCTCATTGCCTTTAGTGCCATATTGACCAGGAATCCATTTTAGGACCACTGTTTTGTTTCTCTCTCTCTCCCTCTCAGCAGCTGATAGAGTTTTTTTATATAAATATATAAAATAGCAGGATAGAGAAGTGAGACTTCTAGTTATTTAGTTTTATTGGGAACGGCGGGCTAATGCAAAAAATCAGAAATACGAAACCGTGGGGCCTATTTATCTAGAGATCAGGGCCTTGGAAAAAAAATAATTAATGTCCCTGTTCCACTTAGGATCTGAATCGATAACCTCAGCATGGTAAATCATTTATGACTGCGAAATCATGAAATAAAATTATTATGAATCCCGTTGCCAATGAAAACTGTATACTTTTGAAAAAATACAAAAAGTTTTGGCAAACGTATGGAGAGGTCCGGCAATTCAAGCATTTAAACAAGATCTCAAGTTCAGTTCGGCCATTCATAGATCGTACGCACTTTCTGACAATGGTAGGACGTCTCATTGGCCTCTACCACTGCAACTCAAATATATAACGTTTTTGATTCTGTCCGAATCAGAATATAATTCATCAAGCAAATAAAAATCGATAATATTGATTGGGCATACACTTAATTAAATAGATGTCAGTCGATCTACTTGTACTGGTTTTATTATGCATCAATATTTGATAATGGGCTGGTTGGTGGCTCGCGTTAGACTTCTCTCCATGTGGGGCACACCACGCAACGTGTACTCATACGGCAAAAATGTCTATCAATCGACAGTTGACTTCTGACTTCAAACTGCCATGGCCCCACTCTACGTCATTTTCCACCACTCTCGCAGTACTCTTCTCACCTTCTTCTCTACTTTTGTGTCTGCCACATTTTTATCTGTGAATCACTCTTCTGTCCACTCCTCCTCGACTGTTCGTGACTTTGTTCCTCCCCTCCGTGAAACAAGAAGTCAAGTCAAGGACCAATAATAATTATCATAAAGTCCGCCATTTGATGTAACTAAGTGTTCGATAATGGACTATGCCTGTATTATAGCAAACTGCAAGTAGTAATATAAATATAAAGATATATTAGTAATAACGTTGAGCATTTAAGAAATATATACTTTTGTTTTGCAGCACCATATATTGCCACCGTTAAACGTTACTAATAATTAATAGAAGAATGTGGAAATTTGTTCATAAATATCTACATGATTCTCAAAATTTGGGTTATTTCGATAAAAATATGAAATAGAAATGAAGTAATGTAGTTATAAACAAAAGATAAAGAGTTTGTCAAATTATATGTGGCGCCAGATCAGTATGGAAGTGATTAACATATTTGCAAATAAGTTAGGATGAGTAGTCCATGTGTCCATTTGATACTTTTCATTTGTGCTAGTATTCATGATGAAGCACAATCACGTCTGAACTTTCGCCAACATCTTATAACTTGCAATTACCATATATTTATTGACATCTGTTGCTTAAAGTAAAATGCCTCATTTAACAATAATTGGGCTGGTTTAATTCATTCACTGCTAATTTTAACGGATATGGTATTAATAAAATGTGCTTCGTCAAACTACATAATTTTGCCAATGTTACCAAGGAACAGATGAAGTCACAAAAAGTCGAAGGATGGGGAACAGAAGAGTAAATCAAAGATATAAAAGAGACAGACAGACAGACAGACAGAAAGGTAGATAAAAAGGTGAGGTCAGCACAGTGGAAGTGGTGGAATATAACATACAGAGGGGTCACGGTAGGTTGAATTGAGAAGTCGATTGCCGGTTAAAAGACTTTTCGTCATTGCCAGGCTGCAAAATGAATACTGAGATAAGGGATATGTATCCCTTACAAAGGCTAATATGTTTCATTGCGGCCTCAAATCGGTTCCAGTTTTATTACTTAGCTGCACTGAACTGCTTCGCATTTTTGTAGAGTTAAAAATATAAAGCTAATCTTGAGTTCACGAAATTGATACCCCATCTGCTCAGATTCACTCTTTGCCTCGACGGTCAGGCACATTAACTTGCATGAGGTTAACTGAGTCGAGAGTTTGGATGATAAAATGTGTGAACTTCTGATGAACTTGGGCAGATAAAATTGGGCTAATAAGCAGATTCAATGTGAGAGCATACAGGGTGAACCAAAAAATGCCTACGAAGATAAAATAATTGTGCTGTAGGCGGACCTCTTTACTTGAACTTTCTGCAGCAGTCTGTTATGCCAAGCAGTAGAGAGGGCATTGAAGATGAAGATTTTTAATTTCTGCAAGATGTGACGCCCCTCACAACACAATCGCTATGTTAGATCTTACCTTGACAAGGTCTTGCCAAACAAGTGGAATGAACGAAGAGGTTTTGTTGAATATCCTCTCCGTGCACCAGGCCTCACACCACTAGAAGTTTTCCTTTGGGGATACTTGAACGTTGCGAGACCTGCAATAGTCACTGAAGTAAGAGAAGCCATTGAGTATGAATTCATCCAAATCCCAAGGGAATTGTTTCATGATGTTTGCAATTCCACCTTTTTGCGTTGTCAGCAGTGTTTGGATCAAAATGGACACCAGTTTGAGAATAAGCGGTGAAAAACAATAACATTATACTTGTAAAATATTCGTACGCTTATAGGTGGTTTGAATGTTTATAATTTTTTGGGACACCATATATTTATTTATATCAAATGACAGGCTTTATGATAGTTATCATTAGCCTTTAGTTGACTTCGGGCTTCACAGAGGGGAGGATCATCAAACTGAGAAAAGTCGGGAGGAGGAAGAGAAGAGGGGGTCACAGATGTAAAAGAGGCAGACAATTGCAAAGGTAGAGAAAAAGGTGAGGTGAGTACTGGGGAGGTGGTGGAAAATGGCATAGAGTGGGTTCATGGTAGTTTGGAGTCTGAAGTCAACGCCCGATTCATTGACTGTTTGTCGTATGAGTATACGTTGCCCAGGGTGCACCACGCGGAGCAAAGTCTATCTCGTATCACAATATAAGAAGTTTAGGAGTCTAAAAATGTAAAACTCCTATAACATTGGAAATNNNCAAACTAGATTCCATTTCGTGCTCAAATTTATTCCTTCACTCATTCCTCACTTCTTATTTAGATCATGAATATGCTTGTACACTTATTGTGGTATTTAAAGAAATTGATTGATTTCCTGAATTCACATCATACTTGAGTGATCGTTGCTGTCTCAGTTCTCCCAACCCCCCTCCATCCTTCCCACTAGTTATTGGTAAGTTGAATCTTTCATTTATTCATGTTGTTCGTTCTAACTGATCATTTTACACCCTCTCCCTGTACACTCACAAACGACCCACTGACAGCATCTTTGCTACGCAAGTATTCGTTCTACCTTCGGCAAAAAAGATATTTTTGTAGCAATCTCAATTTAATTATATTTTGAATTGGAATATTTGTTATACTGTTCCAACTAAATACTCTTTGCAGAGATGTGTTCTATTTCTTTGGCTACTGTTTTTTTTCTAGTTGAGGCAAAAATTTATGGAAAATGAGTTCAATTAAAAATTGATTAGTTTTGCCATTTTTTTGCTCGTCCTGAGTTTAAGAATTTTATTGCCATTAAATAACAGAAACAGATAAAGAGCGAACATCAAAGCGAAAATAGTAAGCTGAAGTTAGGCCTTTTGGCTCTATGTTGTAAATACTTAGGAAATGATTGAAATGCGGGTTATTGGCACGTTTAGAAGCTCACAAACTGATCGGTCGGCCACAATAATGGTGAAATAACTTTCAGATCCATGCAAAACTCCAGAACAAAATTTCTATAACAGAATCCCGGTGTATTTATAACATCTTATACTATATGCATTTCCAATATAAAGAAGTATATATATAAATAAGTCATTGAGTTATTAAATCATTAAATACATTTCAATCACCATCAATGAACTTTGTCTAGTACCTAACCTTTTTAACTGTTCGGACGGTATAAACAAAGTTCACTAACGAAAAGTATATATAATCCGTGAGATACTCGTTTCAATACCTTAAAGCAGTAGGTTTATTTGTAGAATGTCGGTGATCCATTCATCTTTAATTGAGTAAACTGTAGAGATAGTGAATCAAATAGCAATCGACTGAGTTGGCAAACTCCTTCCTTACTGCCTATCTTTTCTCTACCTTCCATATTTTAACGGAGAATAGGGGGAATTGGCTAAGACTCGAATTGAAAACTTCTAGAAAATTGACTTTAACATTTTCGTTTGCTAATCAAAACGGAAAAAAACTATTCGAGGGAATTATGAGTCAATAAATTGTATTCTACCTGAATCCATCAGAAACAGCAGCTTTCCATCTTATTTAAGTTTGTTATTTGATATTGTGCTCAGTTCATGTCTGTTTCTATTTGAATATATAAAGCCTTACAATTTCAGGGGCAACAATACACTATAAAGACGAGAATACGGTTTGAAGTGATAGCTTTAAAGGTGAATATCTTACTGTTACTAAGGTAAGTCTATATTTAGAAAAATAATGATCCATTTTTCTGCTGTCTTACCTGTAGACTAGAGTCAAATTCTTCCAAGTCAGATAACAAGACAAAATAATCAATTCCATACATATTTATTACACGATATAATCAGAATATGTTTAAAAAACTACATAAAATACACGCATTTGACGATTGATCCTCGTCAACGAATAAATACACAAAAGACTGAGCTACTTCATAAATGATAAGGTGGGAGAGAAAGTATTTTACTCTGAGACGACTTGATCCCCTTTTGCCTTGATCCCACATACTGCTTGGATGTCATAAGACCCTGGAAGACAGTCTTGGAAGTGATTCAATACGTATCCCAAACGAAGAGGTCTCGTGGCATTTTTGTCTTGAGGAATCATCTCCACAACCTTTTCATTTAGACGGACTTCAATACAGTAATCGTTCAGCGAAGGTTTGGCTAAAATTGTTGAAAAGTATAGATTGATTGGTTAATAGTCGGAGAGACTAGTTAAAAATGTTTAACTTGAATGAAAAAAGGCATCATGAAGTTGTTCGTGCAAGACAAACGTATTCCATCAACTCCGATGTTGACCAAAATCAATCATGGAGTCATCCGAATCACGGGAATCGCTCAGATGAGATTATCATATTCTCTCTTTCTCCCTCTCACGAACATAGGTTAGCAGACGTGGACGGCTACCACTGTGTTATCAGCGCTTAGAAAGATGTAGCACTTGGATACCAACAAGTACATTAGGGTGCATGGGAATATCAAGACAATAGATTATCGACAACTGGTCAGTAAGAGATTTCAAAAGTTTGATTTTCGCATTCTGAGACTGTGGCACGTTTGCCATCTACATAAGATAATTGTAAGACGCCTTCGGTGACTATACCCTGCCCTTTAAGCCTTTTCGGTTTGTACGTATTACGCACAAATTGACTCATGCAGCAAGCAAATGAAAAAAAAGAACTGACCTTAGGTCAAAAAAGACGAGAGAGAATCCATACGCCTCATTTGAGGCGTATATGTCCTGATTTAGGAAGAGTTCTAAAAACCTGATTAGCATAAACCGATATTCAGGGTTAAGTGCATCATAAAAGAAATGAATTCCAGTGTAACTCCCTTAGGCATAAAGGGAATGAGAAATTAGTAAGCAGATATTACTCTAATTAAAAAAAATATGTAAATCACCAGATGTGGGCCGATGTCCGTATCTCAAGGCGTGAACAAACTTCGCAATTCTAGAGAAATGACCCTTAACTTACCATCCTTAATAGGACTATGGAAAAGGAAGAAGCCAAGATTCGCTCCAAATGGAATGATGTGAGAGGATCGAAAGAGATTCGGTACTGGGGGATCGTCAAGAGAGAGCCTTTGAAGACGAGATGGGAAGCCATCGGCTGAAAGATGTGACCCACCACCGTGTTCTGAAGCGACTGACTCGTTGAACATTCCAAGCTTGGCAACCATAGGAAGGAGGGTTTCAGCATGGCCAAACCAGAAGACACTTTTAGGTGGTGCAGTTAGCTCAATACTCTGGTTACTTCCACTTCTGACCGAAGAAAAGATATGGAAATTAGTTTACACGATTAGTACTGAAAGTCATTAATACAAAAAGTTTATATTTGACTCTTTGAGTAAAGACAATTTTAGCATGAATGATTTAAAGCATACCTGGTGCTTATCTACGTCAAACGATAAACCAAGTTCAAATCAAATAATAATCCATCTCAAACAATCCGTTTCAAAATAATTTAATTCTATGTATTTGAATAATGATAAACCCTTCAATTAAAGCTGATAACTACGTCGCCATATCTGTGTAACAGTATTTAAATATATATATTTAATCACCAAACCATTGACCCTATAACTAAGTTCGAGGTTAAATCTATATAATTAAAGTCAGTGAAGTACGACCAAACGATTGAACTAGGTCAAAATTAATTAGTGCAATAAATAGAGTAAGTACACGCTAGCAATGAAATTGAAATTCTGACTTACTTTTGGGCTTCAATTAACTGCATGTCGTAAGTGGCGGCTTCTCGCATATCAGCCAACATCTTCCCCCAAAGTGGACAGACTTGTTCATAGTTGACTGGGAAAGCATTGCCCTTAGTCCAATACTGCTAGGAAAAGATAAATCAGAGGGCGCCTGGTGGGTTTAATATGAAAAAACAAACTAGTCAGCCAAACATTCGGTTAGCCTGACCAATTCAAACGCGCATAGATAGCGGCGTGCAGCAGGAAATGAGTGGTGAAAAAAGTGAGCCGAGCATGCAAAGCATTCGAGGCGGCAATAGTGAGATGAACTTACCTTGAGATCGTGGAGAAACTCAAGGACATAAAGATGATTGGGACGAAAGAGTCTAACCCAGTCGGGAAGGGTTCCATTCTCGTCCATCACAGATACTTCGTAAGATGCAATCTTGTAGAGATTTGCTATATCATCTACTGTCAGATTGAGCGACTCAAGTTTATGATCCATAACAACTTCTTTAAGAACAGCATGCATCTCAGGTCCATCTTTAAACTTTTTGTACTCCATTTTTGATATGTTGCTTGAGCGTATTTTCTCATGGTAATCATTGCAGTAAGCGAAAAAGCGAACTCGTTCCTGATCAATGTAGATATCGACCTTGTCATCGGTGTACTATGAAGTAGAATAATCAAGTAAGTTGATAAAATTAAAACTTTGCGAAAAAAGGAGCCCAACTTACAGTGGTGAGGAAAGATTCAGCACTGGCAAGAGTACGTTGAGTATCACTAGATACTGCACGCATGTTTGACGCTCGAGAAAATTCCTCAGGTAAGAGTTTGCGCATACGACGCCCCATGCCCTTAAGTTCATTGTAGCCTGTTAAAAGTAAAAGTTTTTCGCCTGCTCCACAAGATCTCGTCGTTAAGTTCCACCCAGATAGAAGAGGCTGAAGCATACTTCGGTATTTTTCAACCTTCTTCGAAAATTTTACATCAGGCGAACGGGTACCATGACGATGAAGGGAATTGATGTGAACAAGGCGTTTGACATTGAGAAGGGAAGCATATTTTGATCGCAGACCGTTATTCCTATAGGCTGTTTTAGATCCGAAAGCTGTAAGACTATAACCATCTACAAGACTATCATCGTAGCATAAATTCGTTGAAGCGTAGTAATAAAAAACGAGACCAACACAAAGGAATATAATTCCTGAGATATCCATCAGGGCCTAAAATAAATAGGACAGATAAATAGTACACAATAAAAAAGTGAGAATACTGTCGTAATAATTGGCAAAGCCACGGCAGACAACGTAACAAGACCGTTCATCTCTACAATCGAACGACCGGTCGCCAAATGAACACTCGTATAAATGAATCAAACACATGATAGCTTTTAGGTTATATATTATAGATGGGTTTTATTTAAACAATAGATATAATCATGTGGTGCTTCGTAAAATGAAAATATAATGCAAATAGATACTTCATTAATATTTATATTAAACTATTTATTTATAATTTATTAATAATTTACATGCGGCATTTTAGGGAATTTTTCAGTGGACAGGACTATATCCACCGCCAAGGCTATCCATTTAATAGGTTGCAGATAACCTTGCATTGATTTTGTCAAACAATTTTAGATGTTAATTTAGAAAAATATAAAAATTAATATAAAAATTAAAATTTCATCAAAGGAATCGCATTATATTTGATATAGTTTAAAGATAAACTAGTTTAAATGTGTAGCAAATACATCATCTAATTTTTCAGAGCGCGCTTTTGGGGACACCATGCAGGACTGCTTTTAAGTAACTATGGATTTGATTTTAATTGATTCTTTATTACTCATTATAAATGCTCGAACCGGATAAAAACCTGTTTTAATTTGTCTTTTATTTTGAAGATATGCAGATCAAATATTAGCTATAGGATTCTTAAATACACCAAAGATGAAAAAGATATTTCCTTCGAATTCATTTGTCGTTTATAACTTATACCACTAAGATTACAAAAATAGAACGACTAGAAGAATTCAACAATACATTTTACAAAACGTCAGTGTCTATTGCATTGAAATCTTCATATATTGGAATGAAAGTAGACATAAATATATTTGGCATGAATCTTAAATAGATATTTAGGGTTCTGAAACGACATCTCAAATCTAGTTACTTTGAGGATTTAGATGTAACTTAAGGGAAATCAGGTTTTGTAAACTTTTATTTATCTGAACTCATTGATTTAGCAACATCATGAATGATCATAAACTTTTGCAATATAATAATATATTTAAATTCGAATCTTTCGCTATTTGAAATTGGCAGTTGGTGGATTTTTTGAAGAAAGGTTAGTCACTAGGTTCTGAATCTGTTTCCAAATCTTTTTGTACACTCCACTTTCTACTTTTAAATGGTCATTACATTGACAACAGAGTAGGAGAAACAATTGCAACCTCCGAGTCTTCTAATTAAAGTCTTCGAAAATCGGAGAAGAACGCATGTTGTCAGTAGATGCGGGTAGAAAGTCAAACGAATACTTGCGTAGCAAAGATGCTGTCAGTGGGTCGTTTGTGAGTGTACAGGGGGAGGGAGTAAAATGATCAGTTAGAACGAACAACATGAATAAATGAAAGATTCAACTTACCAATAACTAGTGGGAAGGATGGAGGGGGGTTAGGAGAACTGAGACAGCAATGATCACTCAAGTATGATGTGAATTCAGGAAATCAATCAATTTCTTTAAATACCACAATAAGTGTACAAGCATATTCATGATCTAAATTTATTTATTTATTTCAAATGGCAGGCTTTATGATA